GTTGGGGGGGGGGGGGGGGAGTTGAGTCCATGTTCCCACATTTGAGGGGTGCCGCAGGCATTGACATTTTCCCTGCTCCTGTTCAACATCTACACGAAACTGCTGAGTGAAATAATCCAGTGGTTTTGGGTCTCCTATCATCAGTATGCAGATTATACCTAATTGTGCATCTCAACCATGGGTCACCCAAGCGATGCTGTTAATGTCTTGTCCAGTGTCTGAAGGCTGCTCAGTTCTGTCTGGGAAGGGAACAGACTTAAACTTAATCCTGACAAGATTAAGTGGATATTTGGACCCCTGGTGCTAGAGAGTCTTAATCTTTAGTCTTGGATATTGCAGTACTTTTCCATTCAAGACTAGTGCACAATCTGGGGGTCATCTTGAATGTATAGCTCTTGCTTGAAGAGTAAGTGGGAACTGTGGCCAAGAGGGCCTTTACACAGATCCATCTAGTGTACCACCTGCACCAGTTCCTGGGAGGCCCTCCCAGGGTCAGGCATTAATTACCTTGTGAACGAACTATTGCAATATACAGGGGGCTGTCCTGGAAAAACCACTCAGGAGTTATAGCTGGTCCACAATGCAGCAGCATGGGCAGTAATGGGCATGTTGTAATATGTTTATATGACACCCCTGCTCTGCAAGTTGCACTACTTTCGGGTGCAATTCAAGGTGCTAGTTACCACCTATAAAGCCCTTCATGGCACAGGGCCTGGTTATTTGAGGAATAACTTATCTCTGATAGTTTATGGCCATCCAGTAAGATTGGGTGGCTTGAGATCCCCTCAATTAAACAATGCCATCTAGTGGGACCTTGGAGGTGTGCCTTCTCTATCATAGTGTTCATCCTCCGGAACAGCATTTCCCACCCCAAGACCCATATGGCTTCCATCCTGATGATGTTCCAGCAGACACTGAAAACTCGGCTATTCTCCCAAGCTTTGGGTAGGGTAGCTGGTGAGCCCCTGTAAGATTTTATGTTGTTCTTTGTGAGGGGTTTCTCTCTGGATGGTATCATCTGCCTATTTTGATTGTACTGACTTTTTATAATGTAGATCATCCAGAGTCACTAGGAATCGGCCATTCTTTAAATCTATATAAATAAGTAAATTTGCATTAATCATAAAAACAGTATTAACATTCAAAAAACACTCAAAATCTATTAACCAAACACATTCCTAAAAAGCAAAATTTTATACATCACCATGCCTACCAGAACTCTATTGGTAAAGTATGTTATATGATGGATGAAGCCACTTAACAAGTTTAGACCTACAGTAAGAAACTTCCAACTTCAAGATATTGCTGAACAACATTTTCAGCGACTCTAGCCAAAATGAAGGATGCTGAGAAATTGTAGATCAGCAACATCTGGATAGGAGAGCCAAAGTCTTATCACAAACTTTGGGACTACATGCTAAATTCATGAAAGTCTGAGGATCCAATAACATCCCAGAAGAGTAAAACATGTAAAGAAAAACAGAGGAAAGAAAAAAGTCCTCAAGAAACATAGATCCCAAGCAATTGAACTGAGTCTAGAAAAAAACCAACAGCCAAAGTAGCTTTATCCCCTCCATTCCCAAGTCTATTATTCTTGCCCAGAATGAAATATTAGATCAAACAAATGCCCTATGATATATCTAGTTATCACTTTGGAGAGGCATGAGATTGTCATAGAAATTATGAAATCTTAAGCCCCACTGAATAAAGCCACCTCTACACAGTCACTGATAACTTACTCCAGTTCAGGTATGATGTTGTTGTTAGACAGTGGATCTGACTGCACTAACAGAATCCCTATTATATCCCAGAAATTAAAGCCCATTCTTTCTTTTAATATAATAGAGCTATAGGAAGCATTCTACAGTACAGGGACCTTTTTCAAATCTACATTGGTCATTCTATTTACTGAATTTATCTCACGAATGTCAAGAAATGTATTCATTCTTTAATTACCAAGTTAATTGGCTAGTTCCAGTTTTGTACAAATAAAATATGTCATAAATAAAACAATAACCCTTGGAGCTAGCAGAAAATCCTTGAAATAATCAATAAAACAAAGAATCAGAATTCAGAGTAATCCTATTATTTAAATTTTGTCCCTCAAATTTTAGAATCAGCATGCTGCTACAATATCATACCAACATAGGTACAAATAGCTTATACAATTTGAGTATTTTTAAGATTTGTATCTACTAAGAAACATCTTGAGTAGATTAACTGGGCTGGCAAACAAATGAAGCAGCAATATACATTCTGTTTTCTTAAGAGAAAGAAAATGTCCTTGCTATGGAATATTTTTGTTATCAATTTACACGTGGTATAGACCCTTAGTTTTTACTGATGGTGCACTGACAAGCCACACTTCAGAGCAGGGATTGGCTGGGCAGACTGTGTGTATCCAACAAATTGCTGAATAATAATATCACAATTTTCCATAAGTCGGAAAAGACAAAGAAAAATAGATGTGTCAAGTCTCCAGTAAGCTGAACATATCCATTTTACCTTTTAGAACCCAACCCCTAAACAACTGAACATAAATCAGTAAAAGCTTTTATTAGCATATTTGCATCACCAATATGCCTCCCCAGCACTGATAAAGGTTACTGAACCCCACTTAGTGGCTCAGATACTATAAAGCAACCCATCTACTTATCAGATAGCAATACATTTTTTTGTGTAACACAGTCAATGCCTAATGCCATGATGCTTAATTAATAGTAAAATAAGAATGTATGTGGCCTTCAATAATCATATGTGCCTAAATAAGAATCTGCAATCTGCAATTGCAAACCTCACCAACCTAAAAAAGCTAAAATAAATTAGAAAGAAAACAAAGATTGCAATCAATTCAGCTTTCCACAAAAAATAATTAAGACAAGCTGTATCCAAGTATTTGAACAGATGACATTGTTAGTATCTTGAGCAATGTAATTAGAGCCTCTAACACAGATCCTAAGTACTTCCAGTTCATACTAAAATCAACTTCTTTAAACTCTAATGGACACTTAAAATAAGTCAAGATGTTGTATAACTAGATCTGAATGAATAAAGGATAGGGCTCAAGATTAGACCCTGAACCTTGTTATATTGAGAAAAGCATTAAGTTAACGCATTGTGCTAAGCCACAGTATGGTGCAAAGCTAGCCAATACAGTTAATTCAGCACATGATTTTTAATGCTATTTCCCTACCTGTAACTTATATTGTCTTCTAGCATTTTTTTCAGCAATCATCCATCACTGAGGCAATATAAATACTGTCTTTACTACTGTTCTAGCAGCTCAATGATGGCTGGAACTTGGGTAACTCTGTATCAGACACTGTGACTAGAAGTGACTCTTCAAAGTTCAGTGTCTGCCTCAGGTCACTAAATCCAAATCCATACCCAACTATAGAAGAGGGAACACTTGTCCAAAAGCAACATCACTCCTTCAGACCTAAGTGCAATTAATCAGGCCAGCTGATATTCTCCTTGCTCCCAATCTGTCCGTACAGACCTACAATACCGTACCTCAGTACCTCTTTTCCTTTTTTTCACACAGCGTCCCCCAGATATTCGCCATTCCCAAACAGGCACCCAGCAAAGAATAAAGAATTTCAAACTCAAGAACCGGGAAGGGGGCGAGGCGAGGAGGGACCATGGTGTAGTCATAAGGTGCTCCATGCCACCCACCCTGAAGCCCAGGCCTTGCCAAGCTAAACGGCCGGTCTTAGGTAAAAACAAATAGAACAAGTAGGCCGGCTACCGTTGGGCTGGATTGGCCGAGGAATCAGTTCGCACAATGCAGCTAGTGATACACCCCGAAGTCCGCTGTACTTTTCAACACCCCGCCTTCTGACCATTCGTGATTCGCGGAAGACTCTCTGCTGCGGAGGCCTCCAGCTGCCCGACATTCCCCGTCCCCGCTACCAACCCCCGTTGGTAGGGAAACAATTCGTCAGGCGGCGGTACGGGAAAGCATGCCGCTCCGCTTCTCGCCGTCTTTTGGCGGCTGCCACCTTTGGACTTTCCGCCGCTTACTCGCTGATAGCACCGCGGCCGCCAGCAAGACAGGCCCAAGCCCAACTCGAGCCTTTCCGCGACCGCTCGCTCGCTCCTTTCCTCGCTCACCCTTCCATCCATCCGGCGGCGTCCAAAACTGGGCCGGCTTTGGCGGGCGTCGGCAGGCGTCTTGGCATTTCGGGAGCCAGGTCAGCAGCCGCAGTCCCACAAAGCCGAAGAAAGGCGGCCTCGGAGCGACGAAAACCGGCTCCGCTCTTTCCTCTGACGTGGAAACCGACCGCAACCGAGCTTGCTACGTGTCACTACGAGGGAGAGGCAACCCAAGTAGCCAATCGAGAACTATCCTGAGATGACAGAAGATCTATTCTCCAATCGAATCAACGAATTACTCTGATGGACGGGCTGAAGGTTTGGTGTTCCAAGGAAGTCTCGGCAGAATAGCCAATCAAATGTGAGATCAGTTAATGGACACGTCAGTTACCAATATCGGACACCAAATCTCCGGTTAGATGGGCGACTCCCAGCCCAGGAAAATACTGTGACAGTTAAGCTGCACGGTTGTGGTAGTGCGTAATTGTAGATAGGCAATTGTCAACTGTGCGTAGGATGCAATCGTCTCGTTGTTTTTCAGCCTCCTCCGTAAAACAACAGACGTGTACGTGGGAGGCACTTTTGCAAGGGCAAGTAGGTTTAAGAGTTTGCGGAGACATTTGATCAATAGTCGGTGTTCATATTGATGCCTTGGTGGCAAGTCCTGAAAGCACTGATTCGTGGAGACAGCAACGATACACGGTCTGATACTCAGGGAGCGTCCACGGCTGAGGGTAGATGTTTTCCTGGTTGTAATTCAACACCTTAACAGCTACATTATAATGGGCTTTCTGTTCTCAGTCGTTGCAATCCCCTCACTTCTCTTGATGATAATGGATAAAACCTAAGGAAGGCATAGGCCTTGGGCAGCATTTGGTTGAAGTGGGAAAATACTACTTTAAGCCTAAGGAAAACTTAATCCTATCTCATTCACAGGCTGATAACAAGATGAAGGCAACATTATGGGCACACACTGTGAAGAAGAAGGCCTAGCCCATTGGATGTACTCCATCTGGATCCACCTGCATCCCTGAGAGATGGAGGCTGAAGTATATTACACAGTACCATGGCTTAGCGGTCAGTATTGCTTTAGCGCCCTCAGCTGGAAAGGGTCTTGCACACTCCTCACTTCAGACAAAGCTATGATAGTTCTTTGGAGTTGTTGACACATGAACCTATTTACCTTCACCTAGGAAATCAACCCTGATTGCTCATTGGAAGGATCGATAATGAAGCTCAAGCTCAGATATTTTGGCCACCTAATGCGAAGAGAGATCTCTTTGGAG